ATGCATCCAGCCCATTCTTCAGGCACGGTTCCTGGAGAGACCTGCCTGATCTGGTAGAGCAGTGAGTGGAGTCAGGCGAGCTCATCGGCATATATGAAACATCCACAACTGAGGTAGAGGCCCTCGTACCCTAAATCAGCACAACTCTGGCAGCAAAGGACTGAGAGTGTGCGTTGGGTAGATGGAGCCCAGGGACTGTCATTTAGTTGGCACACTCTATGTGGACGCTTGAGAACCCTGTGATTTGCTGACCAGATGTCTTTGGCGCTGGGGATGCAGTCCACCTCTTCCCCAGGGACTGCTGTTACAACTAGGAGGCTTAGAAAAAGAGGACAAACTGCCAGGAGAACATGATGATGCTCCCATCAGACGGACAGGTAGAGGGACAATGCGGAGTGGCCAATATGGACTGTCATCACAGTAGGAAAATAGCATGGAAGTCACAGGGCCTTGGTGTCTTGGGGCATGCCAAGGTTCCTTCTCCTGAGCAGAAGCAGGTTTCTCATGGAAGGCATTTGATTCCAGGAGAGTGTTCCATGGGAACACTCAGGGAGTTTGGACACCTGAATCAGTATGTCTTCCCTGCGGATTATTCCATTCTGGCCCCTGAGGACTAACTGGTCTTCTTCGCCTTCTTCAAGAATGAAGTTATTCCAACCTCCTCAGCTTGCAGACTGACTCCCTGGAGCTCTGGAGGAAGTGCAATGCCGAAACAAGTCTCTCTCTCAAGGACAGTGCTTGGGGAGTGAGGGAGGCATCTTCAGCCAGACTCAGAGAGATGGCGGAGGTCCCAGGTCCTATTCTGACCCTGAGGGCACAGCCTTGAAGAGCATCACGGGCCATCCCTGGTCTCCTGGTCTCTTGCTCTCTGGAGCCTCGGTGGAGACCTACCTGTAGAATGCATGCTTTTCCCTGGCTCTGAGCCCCCTCGGGTGCCCCAGTCTGTGGGAGAGTGGTGCCTTCTCCCAGGGCCCAGGAGGCTATGCCTTTGATCTTTCTTGGGAACGCTCTCAGAGTTCCTTCAAGTGCTGTCTTTCTCCTGGATTTCTCCCTCTCCTGCTTGGGGCTCCCCCTTCCCTGCACCATCTGCAAAGAGCAGGCTCTAGAGAGTCCCCCTCCTTGCTCTAGGCTGCTGCTCTTGGTCCCATCCCGAGGCCTGTGTGAGGGCTGAGGGTCTGCATGCTGGGCCAATTAGAACTTTGCTCCACATTCTCTGGGAGGGCATGACCGCCTTCTGGGATGGGTCCCCCGCTGGGAGAGTCTGGAGTGTCAGGACACCACCTGGTCGCACTATCCTGCACCCCAGCCTGTAGCAGCTGGGGTGAGGTTTGCATTCACCACTTTGGGCTGCTTCCTCTCACAGCTGTGGCTGCAACATCAATACCTGTGTTCAGGCCCTTTTCAAGCGTGTCATAAGTCCGCACAGGTACAGCTAGTCTCTGACTCAGGATGGCGTTCTGTCCTGATGACTCTGTCCTAAATAGGTTCTGATCTATCTCCCATACCTCCATTAAAAAAAGTTTTTAAAGCTTTCATTATTATTACCTTTTATTGCCATCAGTGTTTGTTATTGTTCTGGTCTTTATCTTCGGGTGTTGGAAACATGACACACGTGCGTGAACATCTGAGCATGGTTACGTCAGCAAATAATACACAGCAGCCTTGTGTCTAGTGCACACTGCTCATGATAAAATGCGGAAGAAGCAAAACCAGATGGTCATAAGTACAGTTCATCTTAACTCCAATGCATGATACACTGGGGGACTACCTCGATCATCGGAATTGACGGAATGACAGTCAGTGGGAGTGTGCCTGTGCTAACCAGTTTACCTCCAGCCCTCGATGACTGGGTTCACCCCCTTAAATATCCGAGCTGTGGTGACCCTGTGGCCTTGGTTGACACTTTTCCAGGGTGTCTTCTCTCACTTCATCTTGAACCACGTCTCAGACAGCTCTTGCCTCTACCTATTACCCAAAGCTGACATGGGGACCTTCTCCTTGTGGCCCATGGTATAGGCTATCTCTGTGGCATTTGAACTTTTCCCTCAACAAGGAATGTGGCCAGCCTATCCCTCTGCCCACTGGGCACTTGCTTTGTGGAATTTAACCCAGGTCAGAGGGGTGGTTGAATCCATGTGGCATGTAACGTTGAGTCTGCTCATTTGTCTTCTCACCTGCTGTCCATCACCTTACCCATGTGTCTGTCCAGTCATCTGTCCTACTGGTAGAAGATAAGGAAGCCTGTGGACATTCAAGGTAGATGGCCCCAGGCTCAACCCTAATTAACCACTCACCAGCAAGTGATTGTACTCTGGAAGTCAGCTAATACAACATTGTGCTCCTCCAGTGGGGTAGGCTGCATGTTTGTGCAGGGGATGTACCATGAACCAGATAAAGTCTGTGTCCCTGGAAAATGTACAGTCTAGATGGGGCAGGCAGACAGTGAACAACTACATGGATAGTTGATTAGAGCACCGCTGTACAATTGCAGTAGCATGATGTATGGTGAACAAAAAGCAATACAGGCAAGGGAATAGCACGTGATGGTGGTAAGTGGGGCCACTGCTCCGTGAGAAGGTCAGGAACAGCCTCCGTGTGTTGGCAACTTTTGACCAGAGATTGGAATGAATGGAGGGAGTGAGCACCACTGAGATAGAGGGGCGCGTTCCAGGCAGAGGGAAGGGCACCGCCAGAGTGGCTGGAGGAGAGCGAGGACATTTCGCTGACCCTCAGCTTTCTCATTTCTAAAATGTGAGTAGTGAGACGTTGTTGTGAAGAAAAGAGAGGCACTGCACATGGGACACCTAATGCAGACTTGATCCTTCGTCATGGTGTCTGACAGTGTGCTGGTTTATCAAGTCTTGTGAAGACTGAATTGCCCATTGCCCATGAGCCATATCTCACTGGAACAGTGAAGCCCAACAGGAGAGCCTATGTGCTAAGAGTGGAACTTCGACCAGGGTTTCTGAGGCTAGGAATCTTCATAGCAAACTGCCTCATCTTTCTCCCATGGAGCGCCTAGTGGATTCAAACGATCAACCTTTTGGTTAGCGGTTTCCTCCGCTTTACTCACTGCACCATGCAGACTCCTTGAAGGCTGGATATTTAATGCTACAATTTTCCCACTCTGAACCTTGGGAGATTATTCAAGAACCTTCTGAGCCCCTCACACTTCCTCTGTAAAATGGCAGCGGTAACACCCATCTCCCACAATTGTGGTGAGAACCATGATTATTAAATGAAATGAGTGAAGTTTACACAAAGCATGCCGCACAGTATGTGGCTGGTAGTGGGCACTCAATAAAGGGTAGACCCATGACGCTTCAAAGGAGTCAGCAAAGTCCTTGGGGTGGGAACACACTGAACGTGTGATCACATTCAGTTAGGGTGGGATTTCCTGTGGCTTGTTTATGAGGTGGTCGAACCTCTGTAGGATGGAAATGTTCCCCATCTAGTTATCCATAAATAGAATAAATTTAGACTTATTTAAGTAATGTAGTATTTCTACAGCCTCCTGAAGACTCTTTGGCGTCTGTAAACTTCAGATGCTAACACTGTTTGCACTTGCCTTGCAGAGGGCAAGGTGGGCTCCCTGAAGGAAGTGGGGCCCGCTCCTCACAAGTTTCCTGGGCTCTGCAGGTAGCAGAGCATGGTGCAAAGGGTTAACCCAATGGGCTGCTAACTGAAAGGTTGGAGATTCTAATCCACCCCTGGTAATCTAGTCCTGGTCATCTACTTCCTCAAATCCAGTCATTATAAACTCCATGGAGCCCAATTCTACTGTGACAGACACAGAGGCACCAGGAGTTGGAATCTCCTTGATAGCTAGTGGTACTGGGGATAGGCAGCAGGACCCCAGAGGGCACAGGAGAGTCGAGGGTAGGAGTGGCAGGCTGTAGCATTGTTCTGGGACCCTTGATATCCCACCATGCTTGAGACTTTTGAGACTAACACTTGCGTTGATGGCAATGCATTATTAATGCAAACGTTAAAGACTCCTGGGTGGAGGGGCCTAACATCTGTCTCCCAAATAACCTTAGAACAGATGGATTTGTGAAAACAGATTTTTGGACAGAGGGGAAGAGCCTGGAAAGTTAATGGAGGCGGGAGAGGGGCGCATGAGTGCTGAAGGAAGGTTGTGGAAGCCTTCCGGGGAAGAAGGAGCCTTGGGCTAAACAAAGGCAGGCCCTGCTCCCTTCACATTTTGTTTGGGGCCGCACCTGTTTCATCCTGGGTTGTTGATTCTCCCAGTTTGTGTGCATGCACACTATTGATAGTTCGAAAATGACTAGCCATCAAAAGGAGGGTTTCAGGAAGTTAAACAAATAACAAGCTGGAATATTGATTTCTGATGCGTCGTGTTTAACGCTGGAGCCATGGTGGCCTTGTGGTTATGGGTTGGACTGTGATCTGCAAGGTCAGCAGTTTGAAATCATCCACTGCTCTGTTGGGGCTCTCTACTCCTGTGAACAGAGTCCCTGAAACTCTCAGGGGACCTCTATCCCAGTCTCTAGGGCTGCTACGAGTCAGCAGCATTTCGAATGCAGTGAGTTTGGATTTGGGGTTTGTTGGGGTTTTTTTTGGCGTGTTTAATGATAGTAAGAGTCAGAGAGGTGATTTATTCAAGATTTGTGTGCTGTTTCCCGAGAGTCAGAGGTGTATTAGCCACTCTTTGGAGGGGTGGGAGATATTAGATTCCTACATATGGTAGAATATAATCGTCAATAACTTGCTTCTGCTGTAACTCATAAGCGTGAGACATAATCAGCCCAATTTGTTAAAATATTTAGAAAAATATAACTATTTTCAAATGTTTTACTAAAAAGGAAGTTGATACCCCCCAGACTAAACGTTAACATGAAGCATCAGTGTTCTTACAGTGAACAGAGCTACAGGATTTTGTTCTCGAGCTATTCTGTTTTTTAGATTTAGAAATTCATTCTGCATAAGCTTGGGATTGGGAATTCAACCTGCATCTATTTTCTCTTTTTCTGCAATAGGGTTACATGATGGAAAATCGAATCTCAGCCTTAAAGGGTGACACAGATGTGTTTGTAACATTTGAAGGTGACAACGTTGTTATGCTGCAGGTAAGACTCAGGAAATGTTTATTTTTCAACGGTATAACTTTCAAGATCAAGCGTTATCTAAAAAATCTAAAGTATTTTGTATGCTTTATCTATATCGGATATCTGTATTCGATTGGCAGGTGTTTTCCTGTTAGGCACTTGATTTTTGCAGATGTGAGAGGGGGAATCAGAAGATTTCTCTCCTACTTGCTCTTTGGACGGAGCCCTGGTAGGGCCGCGGTTAAGCACATGGCTGCTTGGATGAAAGGGTGGCAGTTCCGATTCCCCAGCGGCTGTAGGGGAGAAAGCTGTGGCAGTCTGCTCTCATAAAAGATTGACAGTCTTTGAAAGCAGTCCTTCTACTCCTTCCACCCTTGAGCGCCAAGATGAGTCAGAATCCACTCAGTGGCACTGCGTTCTCAGTTAGTCTTTGATGACATTACTTTGGTGTGAGAAAACGACTTCTTGTGCATTCTCGGGCAGATTTCTCTTCTAGGGAAGCCAGTCCTGTTGAATATGTCATGCCCCAAAAGATGAACACACACACACACACACACACACACACACACACACACACGTGCAAGCGCGTGCGCGCGTGTGCGTGCATGCGACATGAGAAGACAGTTTACTAAAGAAAGGCAATCGAGCCACCTCACGAAGGATCAAAGCAATGCACATCATGGCTTAATACGGCACCGTTTTCTTTCCATCACACATGGGCTTGTGCTGACGAGCAGGTTCAATCACTGGCACAAGTGGCCGTAGCGGACCTCCTTGGGCTTCTCCATGTCCACAAAGCAAGTGTCACATGCCTCTGCTCTCCGTCCTTCTGTGCCTATTCTGACACCAACTGTTCCTCCCACACCACTGGACTTCTCTACTGGGTGTGGTCATTTGTTTCAATGGTCACATCAAATTCATAGATAATACTCACCATTATGGGGGTTTCTGAGGGAAGCTACTAGGTGATCACAAGTCAAGATCGGTAAGCAGTAGGGATCCAGTCATTGCTCCACCTCTCCTCAGCAAGCAGCTGAATCTCACTGCCATCCTTAGCCTCTTGGCCACGTGGTCCAATAGCCTTCCTGGACCAGGGGGCCCACCTGTCACTCTGTCTCACAATCCCAGGGTCTCAGCGCTGTTCCTCTTGCTCTGTCCCACAGTCTCCATGCCACAGCCTCTCGTGCCTCCGCCACTTCAGACGGAGATCTGGAAGGTGCTCTTCCAATGGTCCCTGGCTTTCTCTCCCTGCTCCTGCTGCAAAGATGGCTCATCCTTTCAACCCCCAGAGGTCAGGGGGATTGAGTAAAGCACACCAATCCTCTCTATTAGTGTTAAAAACACCCTATTTGCACAGGGTGTTTGCAAATCATTTGGTGGGAGTTACAGAGACTTGGGCTGAAGAGCCACGTTAGGAAATGTCACCCCACCACAGCATGATTGAGCCTGGGATTGGTGAGGACCCAAGGGATGCTCTCCCTTGTTGTTATAGACTCAGTGGTAACAAGTCAGTCCTGACTCTTGATGACCTGTAGGATTGAGTAGAACTGCTCTTTAGGGTTTCCGAGATGGTAAGTATTTATGGAAGCAGACCCCCATCTTTCTCCCCCAGAGCCACTGATGGGTTTGAACTGCTGACTTTGCTGTTAGCAGCCCAGCAATTAATCCACTGTACCAGCAGGGCTCCTTTGTTGTGAAGGGCTGTATGTAATTCGATTCCTGCAGCTTCCGTCCTACAGACAGGAGAGGCGCACTGCACTCATGCTTCCATCAGTGCATTCGTGATTGCAACAATAGATCTGGAACCTATGTGTTCAGCCATAAGCAAACAGCTGTGTAAATCAAGTTCTGGACACTCAGTGGGGAATGACCTAGCTCTGGAGTCCCTGGGTGGCACAGATGGTTAATCGCGAGACTATAAACGGGAAGGTTGGCAGTTGGAACCCACCCAGAGGTGCTCTGGGAGACAAGGCTGATGCCCAGGGCTTGTCAAGAGTCCGAAACAACCCGTCAGCAACTGACAATGACAGCAACAGTGTCATGCTGACGAAAGAGTTTGTAGCAGACATGAAAAACGGAACACATGTTAAGTCAAGTGATATCAAACAATACAGAGAATAAAGTCGCAAGCTTGTGTTTTCATGTAAACAAAGAATAAGGACGTTCAGTTCCACCAAGTTGGAAAGGCCCAGACCTTTCAGGTCTTTCATGTTCCCTCCATGACACCCTGGACATAGCACAGCAAGCACTCACAGACAGACTCTGCAAGGTGGAAAGGGGATTGGGCGGGGGTGGGGGGTGGGGTGGGGGCGACGCTTCCTAGGGACATGTGGGACTTGAGAAAAAAACAGGATAGTAGGCATCCATCCTAAACTGCCTCCAAAAGGCACAGACAGATAAAAGCCCCGCAGCCAAATGGCCCAGAAGAGGGCAATCTAACAACCGAAATCTTTTTGGCAGTCCCCACGATCCATCAGTCAAACTCCGTGGAAAAGCAGCTCAGCCCCCAGGGATTTAGAGCTATTCCACTAATAGATACCGGGTGTGATTGGTGGAGAGATGGACACATGGGTAAATAGAACAGAATAGAGAACCCAGAAAGGACCCATACACAAATATACTCAATTGATTTTCTTGACAAGGTGCAAAAATAACTCAATGGAGAAAACATAGCCTTTTCAACAAACAGTGCTGGCTGGAATAATTGGGCATCCAGAGGCAGTAAAATAAACTCAAGTGAAGTCTCACACCTTATAGAAATGAACTCAAAATGGATCCTTGCCTTAAATGTAACATATAAACTCATCGCACTTGGAAGGGAAAACCAAACATATTCAGGAGAAAAATCTTTGAGACCTGTAGATCCGGCAAATCGTTCTTAGACTTGACATCAGAAGCATTCCTCACAAGAGGAAACTACGATTCACCGAATTGCACCAAATGAAAAAGCTTTTGCTCCGTGAGAGACCCCCTGACGGAGACGACAAAGCCGGCCACAGACCGAGAAGGTTTGTGAGAACCCATTAGAAGATGTGGCCCAGGAATATATAATGAACCCTGGGAATTGTCAAAAGGCAAACGGGGGCTTCTGTGCAAGAAAAGCCAAGTGGTTGTGAAGGAACAGAGAGAGCTGGGTGGGGCAGCGCTACATGAGATTTCACGAAAGTACCGCAGACAGGAGTACAGAAAGAGTTTAAGGAGTTTCAATACAGAAAGTGCAGGAGTTCACGGCGTTGCGCAGAGTTTAAGTACAGAAAATCCAGGAACTTAAAAGAAAAAAATTTTGATTGGTTGACATTTGTAGAAGAATGCTTTAATGGACTAGACAGTTCCAATCCTGGGTGCACTGTTTTGTGAATCACCAGGTTTGAGTCAGTTAAAGTCTGGATAGCTATCTGCTATTTGGAAAGCTAGCCTGAGTGAAGATCCTTCTTGGGAGCATGAAGTGGGAGCCATAAGCTTCCTGACCTTTGCTGAATAAACAGAGGATGTTGGGGAGATGACTGTAGGAGATCAAAATGATAAACTTGACTTGAATGGCTAAAACCTTGTCCCTTAACCCCCCTCTCCTATACACTTTGGGCCTGGTCCGGTTTTCAAGATCTTCTCTGTGTGCGTGTTTTATTTGGGGGTTCATCACTGGTGTATTTTGTCATTGTGGGTAGGCCTCTTGAATCTTTGTTATGTGTTTTTCTGGGTTTTTTGTACATGAAACCTAGGACCAATGAGCCTATAGAGACAATAAGTAGAATCAGGGTTCCTGGGGCGTATGGTGGGGGAGCGAGGCTTGGGGTAGTCAAGGGGAGCTGATATCAAGGAGTTCAAGAAGGAAGACAATGTTTTGAAACTGACTGTGGTAGCAATTGTACAATGCTGTTTGATGTGATTGAACTATGGAATGGTACGATATCTGTATTAACTCCCAATAAAATGGGATCCAGCCTGCAGATTTGGCAGCCTGTCTTCTGGATTCTGTAAAGCTCTTTAGCAACATTCAACCATAAAACAATCAGTCCAATCAGAACTGGGTAAGAGACACGAACAAACATGTCATTAAAGTAGAAACTCAGGTAGCAACTAAGCATACGAACGGATACAAACCTTGCTATAGAATTCATATCCTCCGTGACCTCTTCATGAGCGCCAGCATCAAGCATACGAACTCATGGTTCTTAGAATTAAGTGGGAGCCCCAAATTCACTGGGCATTCTTGAAACAACAGAATTACAGAGATGGAGAACAGACCTGAGTTGTAGTTGCCAGAGTTCAGGAAGCAAGAGGACTTTTATATCCTACACAAGGATATCATGAGGGATCCTTGAGGGGCGACTGTTCTGCACCCCACCTGTGATAGTGGTCACATGTACCTACATGTCTGGTAAAATTGCAAGTAACTAAATACTCACCCACATGCCAATGACTGCTTGTAAAATTGGTGTAAAATCCGAGTAAACTCTGGACTGACCAATATCTCTTTTCCTAGTTTTGATACCATGCTGTACTTGCACATGATGCGACCACAGGGAGAAACTGGGTAGAGGATACAAGAAATTTCTGAAGTACTTCTTATAATGGCATGTGAATCTATAACACATAAAAATTAATAGTTCAAGAATGGAGATGAAGAAATCAAACAAATAGGAACCTACTCATGGTGCAGAATGGCATGCCATGTGTAAGAGATGAATGGACTTCAGAGGTTTCAGAATATTCTGATATCACCTCTAGTTGCTTTCAATCCTTTAGTTGTATTTAACAGTCTCAAATGTGCAGGCCCCAGAGCTGGGGCTACTGTCCTATGGGGAGCTGTGGAGAGAGCAGACGTATGCTTTGGGGCTTCTGTAGTTTTACACATGTCGCTTTAAGGAAGAAGGAATGTGTCTGACCCTGTCATTACTTCCCCAGGGCAAAGGTTGTAGGCCCTTTGTGAAATTTAATTATACCCTCCACCAAATCCAATTACTAGCTCCCCCCATGAAATACCATCATAACTTCCTTTTGCCTCACTTGAGCAATACCAG